TTGACACCTAAGATTGCATCTGATTGGCTGCGCTGTATATCAGTTAAGTGACGGGATTGATGATAGGCTTATGTCTTTTTTTTAATGCCTTGCGATCTACCCACACTATATTTACAGTTGACTAGTAGATCGCGATCCATGTATTGAGCACCCCAACTCTAACTTACCTGACAGTTTCCATTGCCAGTAGCCACACCTCATACATTTGAGCCCATTTTTCTTACTATTTATTCTGTCCTTTTCCACAGCAATTCTCACCTTGTCTTACACCATATAATTTATATCCCTATTATCTTTATAGCTTCTTGTTTGTCTTCTTATACTAAAATACAAGCTCCAAAGGAAATGGAATCTTGGTTTTGTTTTGGTTCGTGGTACCTGAACCTTAGTAAGTGCTCAATAAATATTTGTAAAAAGAACAAATAAGTATCCTCAAAGCCCCAGGCTCATCCTGCTATTCTATTCTGTCTTTCTTAGCACATTTGTCAGAGTTTCAGGCAAGAAAACTATATTTAACTTTGTTGCTCTCAAGCATTTTATATAACCTCTATTTTGTTGTGTTGGAGATAAGTAAATTGGAACTTGGAAGCCCTAAATGACTAAATTTATCAGTAAACTTTCTTTAGAGCAAAGTTGAAGAACAGTTATTGACCACACTCCTTGTTGACTCTGATGCTGTACTTATTTTTCATCAGTTCCGTTGTAATTTTTGTCTTCCTCCAATATTTCTATTTCACCCCTTACCTCTTTGTATTCTTCCTATATTCTTTTTTGTTCTGTATCTTTCTATGTAACTATAACCCTCTCGGATCTTAATTCTGAATTGGTATATAAGTACTCATTATTATAAAATCCATAATACTGGATAAACTAAATTTCTTTTTTAAACATTACCTTTTACTGCCATCTAACTCTTAAGAAAACGCTAAAATATCATCTCTAAATTCCCGGGATACTAGTATATAGTGGTAGTATGAAAAGAGAAATCTATAGTCAATTATGTTTTGTTAACATGGGGTTTAATAAGATTCAAACCAACTTTCTTTACTAGAGGACTTATTGCAGCACTTAACATGCTGCTGTGCATTATAAACTTTGAAGAAAGGAATCTGTATATAGTATATTTCAAACTTTCTTAAATGTAGAACCAATACTTTTTCAGGAGGGTTGCATTAAGAGGCATACTCTAAAGAACTCACTTTGGAAAGTTGTTTTAAACTATAAGTGATGATTACTATAAAATACTGGACTAATTCCTAAGGTTGAGTACTGTCTGAGCGTTTCTTCCTTCTTGTTGATTTTACAAATCTTGTTGATTTTACAAATGTCTGAGTGCCTACTATTTACCAAGTATTGTGTACACTGCGATGAAAACCATTCAAGCAGTAGCAATCTAAACATCTCTGTAACTTCCCAAATTTATTAGAATTTCATTGTTAAAATTATAAATAAAATTTCTGTGGAGAAACACTAATATTTCTTATACTTAAAAGATTACTGATATTGCTACATCTCTTTTATTGCTCTGATAATATAGGCAGCAATTTTTGTTTATTGCTATGAAAACATAAAACACATATTTGTCAAGTTAACGTTTTTCAGGTGTATACTTTTGTTATATTCTTCATCATGCTATGTAACCACCACCCATAACAAATATTTTTTTAATCATTTTATTGGGGCTCATACAACTCTTATCACAATCTATACATACATCAATTGCGTAAAGCACACTTATACATTCGTTGCCCTCATCATTCTCAAAATTCGCTTTCCACTTGAGTTCCTGGAATCAGCTCCTCATTTTCCTTTTTCCCCTCTCCCTCCCTCCCCACTCCCCCTTCCCTCATGAACCCTTAATAATTTATAAATTTTTATTTTATCTTATCTTTTACTGCCCGGTGTCTCCCTTCACCCACTTTTCTGTTGCCCATCCCCCAGGGAGGAGGTTCTATGTAGATCCTTGTGATCCGTTCCCCCTTTCTATCCCCCCTTCCCTCCCGGTATCGCCATTCTCACCGCTGGTCCTGAGGGGTTCATCTGCCCTAGATTCCCTGTGTTCCCAGTTCCCATCTGTACTGCTGTGCATCCTCTGGTCTAACCAGGTTTGCAAGGTAGAATTGGGATCATGATAGTTGGGGGAAGGAAGCGTTTAAGAACTAGAGGAAGGTTGTGAGTTTCATTATTGCCAAACTGAACCCTCAGTGACTCATCTCCTTCCTACTACCCCTCTGCAAGGGATGTCCAGTTGTCTACAGATGGGCATTGGGTCCCCATCACACGCTCTCCTCATTCACAATGATATGATTCCTCTTGAAACCTGGTCCCCTCGGCCCTTCATGATCACACATGTTGGTGTGCTACTTCCATGTGGGCTTTGTTGCTTCTGGGCTAGATGGCCGCTTTTTTACTTTCAAGCCTTTAAGACCCCAGACGCTATATCTCTCGGTAGCTGGGCACCATCAGCCTTCTTCACCACACTTACTTATGCACACATTCGTCTTCAGCGTTTATGTGTGGAAGGTGGTTATACAATGATGGTTTTTCTTCTTTGGTGTCTGCTACCTGATCCCTTCAACACCACGTGTTCACACAGGCTTGTGTGTTTCTACTCTGTGGGCTTTGTTGCTTCCAGGCTAGATGGCCGCTTGTTTGCCTTCAAGCCTTTAAGACCCCAGGCGCTGTATCTTTTGATAGCCAGGCACTATCAGCTTTCTTCACCACATTTGCTTATGCACACGTCTGTCTTCAGCGATCATGTCGGGAAGGTGGCTATCATGAAATGACCGTTTAGCTGAGCAAGGTGCTCTTGTATTAAGGGAATGTGCGTGAGGATGCCCAATGTCCACCTGCTACCCGACTACTAAACCTACAAATATATGACATAGGTCTATTTCCCCCATAATCATAAATATATTTACATTTGTACATGTCTATATTTAGGCCTCTATGTATGCCCTTTGCCTCCTACTCCTTTCCTCTATTTCCTTACGCTTTCCTCCTGTCCCACTACCATGTTCAGCCTTCATTCTGGTTTCAGTAATTCCTCTCAGTTACCTTGCCCTTGGTCACTCCCTACCAGTCCTCCCATCCCCTCCCTGCCACTGGTTTTGAACCACCTGTTGTTCCTTGTCCCTGGGTTGGCCAACACCTCCTCCCTTCCCCTACCTCCCACACTCTCATGTCCCCCAGGGACCGCTGGTCCCACTATTTTCTTCTCACATTGTTTGTCCAGCCTCTCTTATCTGGGTGGACCTGCAGATCTAGTAATATGTGCGTAAAATTGGGGATGGCTTCGACAGCACCAAACAGAGTGGCACATAAGAACATGGCGATGACGGCAGCAACACCGACAAGCTAACAAACAAAAAAGCCACTGACATACAAAATTTAAAAGAAGAGAAGGAAAAACAGAAGAGAAAAAAAAAAGCCTGTTAATAGTTCAAGGTCTGTTTGTTGACCTTTAGGAGTGTTTTCCGGACGAGTCTGATGGGATGCCACATCCTGGCCCCAAAGTCCATCCTTTATACTCCTCGGGACCTCCTTGCTCTGCTTCCCCGGCCGCTCCATTGCACATCCCCAGTGTTTTGCCTCAGTGTGGTGGGGTCAGCTCAGTCACACATCCCACACTGTGTCTCCGGTGCTGTCCCGTGTAGGGCCATGGGTCAGTGCAGGATGTCACAACTCGCAGTGGGGTCGGCTATATGGTCCTCTCTGTACATTGGGCCCTCCAAGCCGGGCTATTGTCCTCTGAGCATGGTGGGCCCAGGTGTGCTCCACTCCGTTCTTCCTCCTTCCTTTGCTTCAGCTTCCTTCAGGGTGTGGTGTGGTAGGTCAGTTCCTTTCCCACACCAGACGATCTATTTTCATTTTCTGTGGTGCTCCCTTCCATGATGGTGGGTGGGCTGATTCTGGTTAGGGCCAGTATATGGTCCAGTCTTTCATAACAAATATTTTTTAACAAAATGTAGATTATGTTACACATACTTATTAAATGATCAATTTCTGTTATCATGGGTTACTGATTTAAAGTGATGCTAAAATTATTTTATGTAAATATATTAAAAACAAGTTATCTTTTAAGCATAGAGAAATTGGTCATTTTGATGACTATATATAGAATTTTGACTTTTTTAAAAGATTATCACTCTCATAAACTTTATTGATTTTAGACATATCTAGCATACTTATTGTTTGAGTATATGTCATACCTTATTAAAAGTTAGAGGAAATTAACTGATTTATTCTAGAAATAAAGTTTTATTAACTGATAAAATAATTTAATTGAAGTATTACTTCATATCATCATCAGTCCAAGAAAAGAGCATTTCTTACACTGGGATTAGATAAATAGCCAAGAATCATTTAAGAAGTGACCTTTTTTCTTTTAATGAAAACATGACATAATTTATTATTGGATGACAGAATGTAAGCTTTTCTGGCTAAGTGACTAAAGTTAGGTAAATAATGATTCAATAGCGGCATTTTGCTTTACTTTTTCATCTTTAATTTATGTAGCACATTATTTTGGTATTGAAGACACTTATTAAAGATAAAAATATTGAAGAAAATTTAGTCCTTTTAAAATAAAGGCCATAGTTGATGGTGCGAATTTAAATCTGTTGACTCGGCAAGTTTATCCTTTCTGTAATAATCAGAATGAAAAATAATTAACTAGAATATTTAGTGTTATGTGTCTTAGGACTGTGAAGTAATAATTGGAAACACAATGATTCCACTCAAAGATAAAAGTTCATTTTCCTTTTTACCGCTTTAATACTTTTTCAGTAAGAACTTTTTCTAACCACTCACTACCCCATACCCCCACTATTTATATAATTTTTTTTAAGCCAGTTTGAAGGTAGCATATCAGTTTTCAAATTATGGACCAAACATGTTTTAATCATTAAATTTCTGTACCTAGTTTCTTATTATGTTGCAATAAGATTTAATATAAATACTACTGATAAATGAAGAACCAATTTTATTCTTAAATCTAGATATCTCCAACGAACAGTAAAGCATCCAACCTTACTACAGGATCCCGACTTAAGGCAATTCTTGGAAAGTTCTGAGGTATTATTTCTACCATAGTTTTTATATGCAAATTATAACAGTACTGCTTCTTATATTTGAGATATTGGCACATTTATAGTCCTAATCACTACTGCTTAATTTGGAGGGGGGTTATTTTTTTGGTTTTGAGTCTTAGAATTTTTAAAAAATCTTCAGAATAACAGTCTGAACAGTATAAAGAGATTTGTTTTTATCTTTCTTTCCTTATAAACAGTTTCTTTCTGCTAGCAAACAGGTGGCCAGTGTTCAGGTGTTTGGCAATTTCTTAATATATTTTGACAAACAGGGTGTTTGTTCCATCTAAATGTAAACGTGCAGAAGAGAAGCAAATGGAAAGTCTATTTTTTAAGTTTTCCTTTGAGATTGTACAAGTAGTGTATTTGAGAAATTAGGTCTCACTATTGAAATGTATGAGAGTGAAGAAAATACAACCTCTTTTTCTTTTTGTTTTGCTTTCTTTTTTTTTATCTGGGGGGAGGGTCCCTTTTGTGCCCAGTTAAACCTCCAGGCTTTTAACCGGTTTGTTTGCCCTTATTTGTCATTCAATTCCAGCTGCCTAGAGCAGTTAATACACAGGCTCTGAGTGGAGCAGGAATATTGAGGATGGTGAACAAGGCTGCCGACGCTGTCAACAAAATGACAATCAAGATGAATGAATCGGATGCTGTAAGAGCTGATTTTTCGACTTGAATAATGAGATGAATTAATGAGCTCAACAATTGCATTTTAAAGCTGTACAAGTAGAAAATAGGATATTAATTTGCTTATTGAGTTTAGTTCTCAGCCACATCAGTTGAGCACTATGGTTATACATGGTTAATTTGTTGTTTTAAAACAAGGAATGTAGCTTGCTATTGGTAACCTAATTTACAGTGGTTTCTTCTGGCTAAATTAGCTCCATTTTTCAATTTTTTCTTAGTGGTTTGAAGAAAAGCAGCAGCAATTTGAGAACCTGGATCAGCAACTTAGGAAACTTCATGCCAGCGTTGAAGCCTTGGTCTGTCATAGAAAAGGTTTGTTTGCCTTATTTGTGTCTGTTTTATCCCATAAAGCTAAGGAAAATATTTTGTTTAAGTAATATTGTAATGAATATTCTGAGGTTAGTATAGAAGAGAGGAAAACAATAGTTTAAATGGAAGTTTTTCTAGTTCAACTTTGTTACTTAACATTTTTTGGTTGTATTAAACTGGTTTCCAGTTTAGAAATAGAAAAAATCCTGATCTTATAAAAATACATCTTGAATTAAAATGTGTTCACTTGATTAACTCTTTGTTAAATGTATTTATAATTTAATGAATGAAGATGTCTTATTATAACTTTGATTACAATGAAAAATTATTATTTTAAAATTTATATTTACAGATTCTGCTGAAAATAATTATTTGTGCCTGCTTGTATTTTATGGAAAATCCTTTAAAGTGCTTTCTTTATTTTCAACCTACAATTATTTGAAAATATGATATTTATGCAAGTTCACAGAAATTTTGAGGGCAAATTTTATTAAACCATAATGGTTTGCACCCTCTAACACCCCCCAAAAAAGAAAAATATAAATTAAGCTTCTAATAGCAACTTTCTAAAATATTAGGTAATTATGTATGTGCTGTTACAGCTTTATATTTTATTAAAATAATGACAGAAGGTTACTAATTTATTTACTTTCAAAAATAGTCCATAACAGCTTTAGCATGTGTATTATATCTCTTAGGGGATGGACTTTATAGTTGTCTTTAAGAACTGTATATAATGTAGAGCATCTCCCAGTCAATGTAGTTAGCAGTCATTAACAATAACTTGCTTACAAACATCTTTTGCTTTGTTCAAAGTATCAAAAATGGTCATGTCCAAAAACATCTTTGAAAGTTTTAATATTTTACTAAGCATTGCTTTACAACAAAGAAAAAAAGGGATAAAATTTATTTGAATTGTGTGTACCATTTTACCTCTCTTTACCATTTAGCTAAATACAGATATCATTTTCATTGGCAAATGTGTAAAGGCCAAAAAATATGATATGAAGTAATTGTTACTATTTCCAGTAGTTAAAATATACATTTTTTGTCTTTCGTATGAATGGACAAAGGGAAAAAGTGAGCACTCTGTCACAGAAAAGGGAGACAAAATCATTCTAAATTTGTAAGCATGGTTCTGCCCCTGTGAGATAAACAATGGTTCTTCATAATTTTTGGTAGATCATTTGAGTACTTGAAGTTTATGCACAAGGCATAAATGTCTGACTATGAGCAATTTGTGAATAGATAAAATTTAAAATAGAAAAGCAATGCTTCCCCCCCTCCTTTTTTTAACTTTACTAATGAACACTAAAAATGAATACTTTTTTATTTCAGAGCTTTCAGTCAACACAGCTGCCTTTGCTAAAAGTGCTGCTATGTTAGGTAATTCTGAGGATCATACTGCTTTATCTAGAGCTTTGTCACAGCTTGCTGAGGTGGAGGAGAAGATAGATCAGTTACATCAAGAACAAGCTTTTGCTGACTTCTATATGTTTTCAGAACTGCTTAGTGACTACATTCGTCTTATTGCTGCAGTGAAAGTAAGCCTTATTTTGAAATCTTTTTTCTCACTGTATTGGTTTGCACTAGGAAGAATTTGGTTTCCTATTGGGCCTGTATTTAAGTGTGTAAATTCTGTCTATGTTACTACATATACAATGGCTTCGTGATGAATAATAGTTTAATATTTCTTTATAATATCAACAGTACAGTAGCGAGAATTGGAGGTTTAAGATGTCTTAAAAGTCCTAAAGAAGACAGAAAATATTACACATTTACTTACATTTTCACATAGAAAACTTTGCACCTAATTGAGAGCATCTAGTCATTCACTGTCGCACCACCTGAAGCAGCTCACGGGGCTGGGTTGTCATTAGTGGTGCTCACTGTGAAGAAGAAGCAGTGTAAACCAGAACTAATTGGACTGTGTCTAATGGCTGCAACTTTGGTATGAATTTGCACTATTAATCAGACATTCTGTGTATATATACCATGTATTTTTAGATATGATGGTAGTAGCTTATAAATCATTTGCCCAGTGTTAATGATTAAGCCCAAACAGTATTCAATTTCTGAATAGTTGGGAAAATAATTTTGTTTACTAATGAAAATTTGTATTCTAGCGTTGTTTTCACTACTCACATAATTAAACTGAGGTGAGTGTATGTAATCTTTTATTTCAGAAGATTCTTTGAATTTCTAAGGTGTCTTTAAATAATTTCTATGCATATTTATCATGGGCCTGAGGGCAACTGTGTATTCGACCTTTTAGCTTGAATTCAAGCACATAGAAAGTTTTCATCTGTAATCAGAACATTAATGCAGTATATACTGCTGCTTCTGCTCTCGTGCTAATGGTGACATTTATCGCTAGAAATTGGTGCTTCCTTAGGTTTTATAAATTTATGAATTTGCTTATTTATACTCATATTCCTTTTTTGTTTTTGCATGCCTCTGGTGATTAATTTTTATTTTCTGTTATTTAAAAATGATAATAAAAATAGCAACCGTCTGATTATTTGACACTTTCAAGAACTTACAAGTTTATAAAGGGAAGTATCTATGAGAAAGTACTGTTGAAAAGTGATAGGGGGAAAACTCGCTGGCAGGGATAGCCTGATTTTTAATGGATATGGGTCCCTCAGAAACAGCTTTCCTCAAATGGTCAAAATATTTTCACGTAATTGGATATTACAGTTTTATCCCTTGGAAATCTATATGGGAGCAGAAAGCCTCATTGTTCTCTCTCAGGTAGGTTAAACTGTTGACCTTTCAGTTAGCAGCCTAACTCATAACTCAATATGCCACTGTGGTAGTTAAATAATCTATTGTTGATTTGACACTGAAGAGTAAAGGGGTGGAATTTAGCCTGTCAATCAGATTGCAGCTTGATGACCTCATTTGGAGGCGCTAAAGAGATAAATAGCTCACTGGAGGTGAAACACACACTCACTCCCTGTGAGACATTCCTGATGGCAAAACACATGGAGCTACACTAGAGCCATGGAGCTGAAGGAGCCACATGGAGACCCACGCAAACACTTGAGATGTTTACACCACCACTGGATCCCAAGACTTTCCACCCACTGCCCTGTGATTTTCTTGCATTTGGCGTCATTGCATGTGTTGTGTGAGTCTGAAGAGGACTTTATAGATTTGTATAGGACATATGGGCTAATATCAGACTTATGGACTTGATGTCGAGTGGGCTAGGATATTTTCTCAATATTCAGTTGCTCTTGTATATAAAGCCCTTTCTTATACACAAGAGTGTCTTTGAATTTGTTTCTATAGTCAACCCAGACCAACACAGCCACCAGCGCTCTTTAGGACATAGTTTACTTTATACACTATTTCCAAACTTAGTTGTTTGTGGTATATCTTTTGATTCTATAAAGAAAGAATGTTTTAGGAAACAGGGATATAATGCTAATCAACTTGATGGTGGTGATTATTAGTAGTAGATCTCTATTCTAGAGATTCAGTAAGCTCAGAACTATCTAAGGGGTTTTAAAAAATTAAGTCATTTAGCTGTTTACTTCAGAGGCTTCTAAATTGATATGAACAGGAATCTCTTTTCAGTAATGTCTATTTAATACATGTAGCACACTTTGAGAAATGCTGAATTGTGATTCATTAACTAAGAGTATTAAAATATCATGGTCAAGTCATACGTTGAGGCAATAAATTAGGTCCCACAGATGTGTTTTTTAGTGAAAGCTAGCCCAGGTCATCGGTACAAAGGAGTTGAGAAATTGTGGAAGTGAGTGTTAGGTAATTTTTGTGAGACTTTTGTTGTATTCTTAGTTTTCAGCCCATATTGTTAGGGGCCATCAAGTCAATTTTCAACCCCTTATGTCAAAATAGAGCTACTCCACAGGTTTTCCCATCGTCCAGAAAAAAAGGAGATTGTCTGCTTCTCTAAGGATTTATAGTCTTGAAAATCACTTGGGAACAGTTCTATATGTTTTATAGAGGGTCACTATGAATCAGAGTCAAATCGGTGTGTTGTTTGGAGGGGGTGGGGGCATTAATCTGGGACGAAGTAGATTGCCAGGTCTTTCTCTCACAGAATCACTGGTGGTTTTGAACTGCCAACCTTTTGGTTCACAGCCAAGTGCTTAACCACTGGACCACTAGGACCCCTTTTTGAAAACCAACTCTTTCTTGAAAAAATAATATATGCACATCATCTAATAGCTAAAATAAGTCCATTTTCCTTCTACCTAAGATCTTTAGTCTCTTCCATCAGTCAAATATTCTTAGATTCTTTGTTTTTCTTTACAGAATTATCCACATATGTGAAACCAATTTTATTTCTTTTTCTTCCATCATGTAGTACGTTATGTACTTATGCATATACATTGATTTAACAAGTCTAATCTTAGAGAATGTCCCTTATTTTGATAGGCCATTGAACATAAGAGTCCAAGAAGTAAACTTGCTGACTGAAGGGTATTTGCATTTTAAATCCAAATAAACACTGCTAAGTTATTGTCTAGAGAGATCATATCCTTATTTATAGTCCCACTAACATAAGTGTTCCTTCTTTTCCCAAACAATGATGAACTTTTAAAAATGTATGTTTTAATGTACTTTATTAATGTGAATGTAAGGATAAGTTAAGGCACCTTTAAAAGTGATAAACCATTTGCATCTTTTTTCCTTTTTTATGTTGTTTTTTTTTTTAAAGTGTATTTTTAGTCTGAGTGAGAGATGGGTCAGGCAAAGAGCAAGGATACAGAGTATGGTATCACGCTTTGCCACCTCTTAAAGAAACAAAATGTAGTAGTAACGATTAAGAGGATGAACGAGTTTCTTCAATTGGTAAAGAAATGTAATCCTTATTTTCTAGAGTCAGGAACCTTTGATATGGAGATCTGGGATATGGTAGCCATGAACTTAAGAAAGGCCCACAGGGAAGGACAGAGCATACCCGTGGAGACCTGGGTCCTGTGGGTGCAGATTAAAACAGTGTTGGAGCCGCAGCAGGGTGAGAGAGCAAAGGAACAAGACCAGCAGTGCAGTGAGAAGCCTCTAAGCTACGCAGACTTAAATCAAGTGAGAAGCAGGCAGAATGAGTGTTCGGCAGATGAGAAGATTTTAAACAGAACTGAGGAAACGAAGTCTGAATCAGAAGGAGGTATCAGACGAGAAGCATCTGAGCCCCCACCGGAGTTTAGCATAGGAAATCACAGTACAATGAAGCAAGTCAGTGCTGGAGGGAGAGATGAAATTAGATCTGCATCTTTTTCTATGAATAAAATATCTGTCTCCTTTACCCAGGTTTCTTTTGTGTTCAATGCAGTGGTAAAATTGTTCAACTTCTAATCAAAAGATCAGCAGCTTGAACTCAGTTTGAGAGAGATGTTACAATGTGCTTCTGTAGATTCCTAGTCTCAAGCCCTCTGGACAGTTCTTCTGGGTTGTACTACCGGAGTTGCTATGAGTTAGAATCAACTCAACAGTAGTATGTTTGTTTTTTATATTCTATTAGGTATTTAATACTAATGAATTGTTTTGCTCATACTGAAAATATATTTTTTTCTGATTAGGAGCTTGAAGAAAGAGAGACCCATTTCAAAATGTACCAGAAATAGTTTTTACCCAGAAAATTCCTGTTTCTTCTTTTTTACAGCACATGGCCTTTGGCATCTAGGACTCCTCATACATATAGATACTCAAGCCACCCTAAAAGTACATTGAGTGAAACACTGCCTGCAGCTACACCGTCCTCACACATGTTATGTTGCAACCCATTTTTGAAGCTGTTGTGCCACACCATCTCATTGAGATTGGCTTATTTGCCGACCTTCACTTTCTCAAGCAGTGTATCCTTTTACAGGGACTGCTCTCTCCTGAATGCATGTCCAAACTAGGTGAGTCAGAGTCTCTCTGTCTTCCCTTCCATGCACCATCGTGGCTGTCCTTCCTCTAAGACAGGTCTGTTTTATCTTCTGGCAGTCCATTGTACTTTCAGTATTCTTCACCAGCACCACAATTTCAAATGTATCAGTCCTTCTGCAGTCTTCCTTATTCATTGTCCTGCTTTCACGTGAGGTGATGGAAAATACCATGGCTTAGGTCAAGCACACCCTGCTCCATAAAGAGGTCTTGTGCAGCTGATTTGCTGAATACAATGCATTGCTCTACTATTTCTTTTATAAGCATTGATTGTGGAACCAACTAAAATAAAATCCTTGACAATTTCAATCATTTATCTGTTTAGCATGATGTTGTCTATTGGGCCAGTTGTTAAGGATTTACTAAAGTTTTTTACATCAAGTTGTAATCCACAGTAAAGGTTATATTCTTTCATCTTCAAAGTTGGGTCATCTGCATATTACTGCTTGTTAATAAGCCTGCCTTAAATCCTGATACTTTATTCTTCTTTATAAAGTCCAATTTCTCAGATTATTTTCTCAACATAGATTAAATATGGTAAAACAATACAAACCTGATACACACCCTTCTTAATTTTAAACCATGCCATAGCCCCTTGGTTTTGTTTAAACGACTGCCTGTTGGTCTATGTACCAGTTCCCACATGAGCACAAATGCTCTACACAGTCAATACCTTTGTGTTGTCAATAAAACACAAGTAAATTGTTTCTATATTTTCTGCTGTCAGTAATGATATCCCTCATACCACATCCTTTTGCAAGCCCTGCCCATATTTCTGGAAGCTTCCTGTTGAAGTACAGCTGCATCTGTTTTTTAATTATCAGTAAAATTTTACTGCATACTAATGTTTGATAATTTTCCTATTATTTTGGGTCACCTTTCTTTGAAATTGGCACAGATATGGAACTCTTCCAATCTGTTGGCCAGGTAATTACCTTATATGTTTCTGGATGTAGAATAGTGAGTGCTTCCAGCACTGCATCAGTTTGTTGAAACATCTCAACTGGTGATCCATCAATTCCTGTGGAGCCTCATTTTTTACGAATGTATTCAGTGCAGCTTGAACTTCTTCCTTTCATACCATCAGTTCTTGATCATATGCTATCCCTCAAAATGCTGAATGTTGGTTAACTAGTTATTTCTATTCTAGTACAGTGCCTCTATGTATTCGTTTTACTGCATCATTCAGTATTTTATCCCTAGAATCCTTTAATATTTCTAGTCAAGGCTTGACGTTTTTCCTGCTCGTGATATTTTAATTATAAATTAGATGAGGGTTTATATTTCATATCATCAATTTTGTATTCAACAGTTTAAATAAAAATATTCAGGAAAACCTCCCATCCCTAATAGTTTATCCTTCACCTACACCTTGATTTATCTTCTCCCTTTTATGGATATTTACTTGTGTTTTATTGACTATGAAAAGGTATTCAACTGTGTGGATCATAGCAAACTATGGATAGCCTTGAGAAGAATAGAAGTTCTAGAACACTTCATTGTGCTCACCTAGAACCTATATATGGGTCAGGAGGTAGTTGTGTGAACAGAACAAAAGAATGCTGCATGGTTAAACAGGAAAGGTGTGTTTCAAGGTTGTATCCTCTCTTGAGTACCATACTTACTCAATCTATGATAAGCAAATAATCAAGAAGCTGGACTATATGAAGAGGAATGCAGTGCCAGGACTGGAGGGAGGTTTATTAATAACCTGAAATATGCAGATGATCCAAGCCTTGTTGCTGAAAGTGCGTGGACGTGAAACACTTGTTGATGAAGATCAAGGATTCAGTCTGCAAAATGGATTACAACTCAGAGTAAAGAAAATAAAAACCCTGCAAGTGGACTAATAGATAACATCATGATAAGTGGAGAAAAGTTTGAAGTTGTTAAGAATTTTGTGTTGCTTCTGATTCAAAATCAATGTTCATGGAAGCAGCAGTCAAGAGATCAAATAATGCATTGCATTGAAAAAGTCTACCACACAAAATTT